GGATTCTAATTTAAACTGAATTAAGGACGGAAGATATTAAATTTAATTGCGAAAGTCAGCCACGCAGATGGCTTTACTTCAAAACATTTCAAGATGTCTTGGAGGAGCCAAATTAACTAGCTAATTCGATGTGAAAATAATAGGTCGAAGGATAAATATTTTATTTTGCGCAATATTTAAAATAAACACAAACTCAATGTAGGGAAATTAAATTGAAATTTTTGTGTGTTCTTAAAATATTTAATTAATTCAAATGTTAGTTAATGGGACAACACTATGAATCATAATTCGTTTTCGTAAAAAAAATTAAATTACTACTCTCGAGTTTCGTCCAGTGGGACGTTGGTTGGGAACCTCTGGTATAACAGAAGTACATCTAGGACGTCGTGGCAATTTTTACGACCCTATTCTGAGAATTTGATGTGAAGGAGTTCCATTAGAAAGATGCTCTAGTCGCAAAATGAGAGGAAATGTAATAAACATCAAAATAATTCCGTTTGTGCTCTATAAAATACCGGAAATGTATTGATTCGTCTAAAACTATTACGCTGCGAGCTAGTTAGCCATGAATTTTTCAATGGGGTGTTCTAATGCTGACAGATAGAGGTGAGGAGTATCTCTCATACGTACAGTTAATTCAATGTTTTCAGAGTTTCACATTTCCCGGAATGAAAACCAATAAACAGATTTAAATACAATGGGAAAAAACTTGATATTGCAAGGAATCATCAATTTTAACAAACAAACGTTGATTCAAAGCATCGACAGTAATAACAACCATATTTGCTTTGAAAGAATACATTTATTTGAAATTTGTACATACATTTTAAATATTAACTGTATATTTTACATACAGAACAATTTAAAAACTCGTATAAAGTATGAACAAAAATGTACTAAATGCTTCACAATAATAGTTGTTTACATTTTTTCCGTAGGACAAGTCTGCACTGTTGTCACGTTGTGATGAAACTCCCCAATATTAATACTTGCTGTATTTTGGAAACTGTTAATCTTACGTATACAACTTTTTTTTTGTTTGTGATTAATCTACCTCATACTGAAGTAATGGCAGTCAAGCTTCTTACACCTGTATTCCCATTCGTATGAATTTTACGAATGGGAATGCCAATTTTAAGAAATATGCGAATGCGAGTTACATCACTAACACAAATATTAAACTTTTGGAAAAAAAATGTAAAAATATTCCTAAGCGCTTTTAGAAGGGCGCGCAAAAAAATGAAAAGAAAAAGCATAGCATATGTATGGAAATATTCCTTCACATAAATACCCAGTTTTTAATTTACTGCAAACAATGGCTCTGACAGTCTTGAAACATAGCCCCCATTTACATATCCCTGTAATTGGCTGTTCAATTTAAATTTCAATTGGGTTCCCACACAGTAAAAGTGCATTCTACTTTTAATTCGTTCTTAGACGTGGGAGATCCTCGTTATTCTGCGTGGTCGTAACACATTGTCGCGGCCTTGGGCGATATTTTTACCTCCTTCGCGTACGGGAGGTTGTTTTTCAGCTATTTCTCGTAAAAAATATCGGATGAGTACTACGGATATCGTAGCCTCGAGGTGCGTATTACAATAATAGCTCGGGTGTTTTGTTTATTTTGGTTTCGTGAATCGAGGCTGCCTCAGCCAACACCGAATGACCGTTTGAAAATACTGCCTTGCTGATTGATATTTCACGTTTTTTTTTTACTTTCTATTTTATGATATTCTAAGTTAAAACAACTTAAAACTGTATAAAGAGAACAAGATTCTTTGTCAAAGTCATCCATTTTTGCTTAATTTTAAAAAATAAACCATTTTTGGTACAACTAGTTGTAGATTGGAATTGTCAATGTTTCAATTAAGCTTATCCCTGGAATAACCAACTCGACTAGTTAATACTATTAAAATTCTACACCTTTTTTCCTCCGCTCGTCACTCTTATCAGGTTTCCTGAAGCCTTCTTATCCACTAGAAAGCCCATTAGTCGCAGCAAACGATTCGACAGCGAAATTAATTTTTATTTTATAGTTTCTACCAACTGTTTTAATTGACGATTAACTCTGTTAGTATCTATTGCATAGGTTGAATTGGTAAGGTTGGATTGTAAGTCTTTATAGCATCTTTCTCTGTGATGCGGATATACGAGGCCTGTTCAGAAAATAACTTTTTAAACTTTATTATTGACTGACGACCACTTTTAAATCGTGAAAACCATTCGTAGCATTGCGTACGACCAATAACATCATTCCCATAAGCTTGTTTCAAAAGTTGTAACGTTTTCTCCAGTTTCACGCAAAATTTTATGTTGCATCGTTGTTTTGAAAAGTCGCGCATATCAAAAATCGTCACTAACAATGAAATATGTTGCCCTCAAATAACGGTATCATGAAAACTAAACGGGATATCCATAATCCAAGAACATGCGGCTACAGAGAATGTTATGCACAACCCAATGCTGCCAATCACATGTCACAAATATCTCCAACAGCGCGTAACTAAAAAATTTGGAAGACGTCTACTTATAAAAGGTAATAAAAACTGTTTATCCCTTGTTTTACAGGCGAGGATTGTAGGTAAAATGTTGTAACTTTTTATAAATGGAATAACTAATTAACCAGTTCATAAAGAGTCTTTATTAAATTTATACTGGGTTAATTGATCTGAAACGAAATTTACTTACAATCTTTTAGGCCTTGCCCCGCAGAAAAGTTCGGCGAAGTTATCCTAAGGATATCTTGTTAAGTCGGAGTTTCACGACTCGAGTTAACTCTTAAGAAACGGGGGTTTATTTAGACCTGCAGAAAGTTTCTAATAAAAATTTGATTATCTCGTAAAAGTTCATGGGATCCGGTATTATGAATTTGCCGTTGATTTAATTCAAACTTAAGTTCGGTATTTTTTGAAGCTGTCGACACATTTACTCGACATATTTTTTAAGAGTTTTTTAAATTAAAGATACTAAGTTCTGAGACGATTTCTATAGGTGCTTTGACATAATAATTTCATATGACGCCGAACAGACTTATTTACATAGTTGGTTTCTTAAAGTATGCAGTCAAGGTTGGTTTACGTTCATTAAACACATTATTTAGACATATGTTTCACATTACCTCGTGTTGAATGTCGCGGTACCGTAAAATGTATGTAAATCCATAACGAGATTCGTTATTGATTACCAACCCGACAGTTTATTGCTGCGAGGATTAAAATTCTCTTGGATATTAAAAGGCAGATATCCATAAACATTTCAAGACATCCCCTTTACATTTAGGTACATTATTTTTGACAAAAAGATTTTTTATATGGAGGCATAAACTTTCAAAGTGTAATATATGTTCAGCTGTGGCCGCTGGGCGCAGGCGTGGTCCGGTCGGAGTGATTTTGGTGTCGTTGTGTAGGTTGGACACATTTTTAAATACATGTCATGGTGTTTGTATAAATAAAAATTCATTTGTATACCAGTAATGAGGTGTTCTAATCTATGATAACTACGTTCATTTCTAATGTGCTGTAACTCTGATATCATCTAAGAGTATATATTTTACATCAATATTCCCCGCTTAAAAGGCAGTTACGGTCTTGGGAGACAAACGTTTCTAGGGTGTGTTTTGTATGCTAAGTAGTTGAAACGGAAGATGATATTAATTAATTACGTAACGTTAAGAGCATTCAGACATCGGGAAATTAATTAATCCGTAGTTAAATTACGGAAAATACTCATTTTTCTTTTTGTGCATCACTTGCTATGTGCAAACGTCATTTATTATAGTACCCTAAAACAGTTTTACTGTTATGGCGTAATGTTATCGAATAAAACTCGAATTCTGCGTTATTGTACCGTGAAACTTTATTATTTTATTTTTCTATCACAATAAATTTGGACCATTTCAACTGAAATGGTAAATATTCGCTATATGTATCCATTAATTTCTCGTAAACTAGTAGAGGTCCAATATTTTATCAATTTTCGAATCGAACTCCCCCGCCAATTACATTTTAAGCGATAATTGAGTCTGTCTCTCCGTCAGTAATGAATCAAGCCGGGAGCTCGTCTCAATCATCGAAAATTGATGTAATTATCATCAACCATATTGAAATAGAGGAGTAGGGCCCTTATCGCCCCAAATTCGATGTAGTACGTCTGGCCAGTTTTCTGTAATTGGCTCCGAGGGGTTTGGAAATTTGATTTTCTCAGTCCGTCCCGTCTGGTGACGCCCTGCTAACAGATTTGGTACAGTACTGGACAAATACATATTAAATAAACGTTATTAAAGAAGAATGTGAAATATTTTCTAGTACTTTTACGATTTTTATCAATGAAGTTCTTCCTTGTCTTATTGCCGGTGTTGCTAAGTTAAATATCTAGACACTGTTTGAATATCTTATGAAGAAGCTTCCAAGGCATTTAAAGACTGACTTTGGAAACTATTTCACCATGTTTTTGGAACAAGCAAGTCAGGATAGAAAGTTACTGTTTTTGGAAGAGTCACATGCTGTTTTTAGATAGCCTCCAAAGTCTTAGGAAAACCTTCAGACATTTTTTAGGTAACTTCAGTCTAAGCTTTCGAGGTGTCTTTGGAGGATATACAAACAATTCCTAGATATCTTCTGAAATAGCGCCTAAGACAAAATATTTAGACATTGTTTGCATGCCTTCGGAGATGCTTATTATAAAATATCAGAGGTCAATGGATAATTTTTGGAAGATGCTTTGGAAGTAGTCAAAGATAGTTTTTGTTTGCATTCAGAGAGTGTCTTTGAAAAATATCCGTTGGAAGACCTTTCAAAGTAACCAAAGACATTTCTAAAGCATTCAAAGATAGTTTTGGATACTTTCTAAGACATCAAAGGCTAATGCTGCTTCCAAGGCAATCAAAGATTGGCTTTAAGATATATCTAAGACTATTTCCAGATACATTCTAATGAAACTAACGCTATTACTGGTGAAGCTTCTGCATCATCGAGAATAAATGGATTTATATATTTTTTCAGCGACGAGGCCCGAGCGCTGGGTTTCACCGTGCTGGTGGACATGCGGGGGGCGACGTGGTCGACCGTAAAACCCATCCTCAAGGCGCTGCACGAACACTTTCCTCCCGGTGCCGTCCACCAGGCCCTCATCGTCAAGCCGGACAACTTTTGGCAGAAGCAGAGGACGTCGCTAGGCTCCCACAAGTACAAATTCGAGGTAAGCAAAGCAGACGCAATAGCATTCGAAGAAGTTTTATTTTTGTTGATCTTTGGCCCGTACTCAAGTTATCGTCGATGAAAATTATTTTGTGGCTTGCAAAGATAAAGCAAAGAGTAACTAACTTAAACTTCCCGGAGTTGTGGCGCCGGAAGTCATCCTCGTAGTTGTCCGAACTAAAACCTCGGACACAACAAACCCATTTGTTAATCAATATGTTAACGCTGAAAACCGCACGTCTCCAATTGGCCCAAACCGCAAGAGGGTAGCAGTCGCTATTGTGTGGAGAAATTTGGAGGATATGAGAATTAATATTCGGAAATATCTGACAAATGTATTGTTTCAAGAAACATACGCGTCTAAATCGAGTTACTTACTCAAGATTGGCAACTAAATTGAAATAAATGTTTTAAATTTCAAAACCAATATACAGCTACTAAGCAGATATATGTGAAAAGTTAGTACAGACGTGGACAAAAAAAGGGTTTTTAACCTAAACAGAACTTTCCTTTGATGGAGGTACGACTAAAGACAAAAATTAAAATTACATTTTATAAAGAGTTTTAAGCATAAACCTTTTATTGTCTTATCTGTACCAAGTCTTGTTAATTTCATTAAAAATATGTCCGTTGTTTTTCTTAGACAAATATGATAAGCATAGAAGCCCTGTCGAAGATAATAGACAGCACCCAACTGACCTCCGACCTAGAGGGTACCCTCGCTTACGACCACTCCAGCTGGCTCGAGACCAGGCTGGCCGTCGAGGAGTTCGCGTGGCAAGCGGCGGACCTCCTCGACAGGCTGGATGACTTACAGGTAAGTGAAATCGTCTACGAAGTCAATGTTCGTCAGTATTTTTGAAAAACTCCTCATTAATATTGCACAGCGTGAATCAAGTTCTTGTCACAATTGATAGAAGACAATATTCTGGGAAACAAATTCCATGCGTCGTTGAATGATTTCATTCCAATAATTCAATTCAAAGAACAGTTTCCTGCACCTTTAATGTGCATAGAAAGTTATTCTTTTCGAAAATAGAACTTCCATTCCAATGATTATTATTATTCATCCGAACTTCAAATCACCAACTGTTTTTTACAGTAATTTTTCGAAGTTAAAATCAACGTCTGCCAAAGTAGAATACTATACTTTTCTTTGTTACTGAGTTACAAAAAATTGGAACATTTCTGGTCACAGAAACTAAGCATTCTACGATGCAAGTTTATATGAACTTATTTCTTTTAGAATATGGTCTATGAAATATTGACACCATTTTATTTTAAGTGTTTCATTTTAGAAAAATAAAATAGGTTATTGCTAAATTAACATGAACAAATTCCTCCATTCGTTCAATTTCGCAGTCATAACATTCATAAGCCGCCCCAATATCCGCGAGTAAACTTAACGCTCCATCCATGATCGATATTCTGTGCGATTCCTCGGTTTATCCTTGGGAAACATTCCCGTCTCCCGATATTCTCCCCGTCTGAGAACGACTGTTATTGCGGTTTTCAGGAGGACCTGGCGAGGAACGACTTCGCAGACGACGTGAGCGGCGCCAAGCACAAGATAGACCTCCACAACGAGATGAAGAAGAAGATCATGAAGGCCCCCGTGGAGGATATCGATCTGTTGGGTAAGTCCGACTTGCCACACACGCCTTCGATAGAGAATAGTTGGAATAAATAAAAAAAACAACGGTTTATCATTGTTTTTTTCGCAAAGGATTCATTAATACTGACGACGGTAAAATTTAGGGATGTTTAATTGGTTGCGCCAATCGTGCGATGTTGGTTGCCGAACACCGCGCGATTTTTTCTCGAATCAGATTGGCATAAAACACTTTCCCGTTTCGAATTAATTAAAAAGTCGATTTGCTAGCAGTGCTCAAATAGACGCGACCACCGGGGGCTTAATAAAACGGATGACGAACTTTATTACTCCGATGGAAATTAATGCCCATTTAATAAAAGGTTTCAAAAGGTGATTATTAAAATTTCCCTCCAGCCTCGAGGATGCCGAGGAAGGAATTTTAAATGGAATGGAATTTGAATGGAACCAGCCGGTGTCGGTGGTCGTTAAATTGCGGATGCACATGCAAAAATTTTTATCTCGGGGTTTAGTACGTTGCTTCGAATCAAGGCCGTCGGCAGCTAAACTAAAAAAAAAATTGTTAAAGCCGTTTTATTATTCAAATAATTGTCTTAAATTCTGCATTCACATGATTTAAAGAGATTAGTTTCGAAGCGCCAACGATAGGTGGCGGTATATATGCCTCACTAACCATTGTTCATCAGTGGAGTATTATGACTGAAAACATTTTTTAATGAAGAATTTAAAATTGCACATGGCATTCATTGTATTTTATGGTATTAAGTAGCACGATGATACCGAACAAAATAAAGTGTTCAGATTCGTAGCGGGATTACTTTGACAAAAGGAGAACACCAAAAAGAATTTTAAAAGTGGGACGAAGCTTCACAGACTTCCTACTCACGTGCACAGTGCAAACATTTAGATACCCCGACATAGAAACGTTAAATTAAAACTCCGTGGAAACTTCAGATGTTTCCCAGGTTTAACTTCTCGTATACGGTTTAGTTTACCTCTACCGTTTTCTTTCCGACTTTTTCAAGCGGCAGATCGTTTTTAATTTTGACGTAGACTATAAATATATTCAGTATGTTTTAAAGAAAATATTCAGATTCCAAACATATGAAAGTTATAGGAAAATCTCCTGTGTTGCAGATTCTACTTCTAAAGAAATATATACTTCTCGCAACGTGAGAATATATTACTGTGTCATTCTATTTTATAACGCCTTTTGACGTGAAATGTACGTGATGGAATAATATGAAGATTTTGTGCAACGTACATATCAGTTTGTATACGAATCAAATGTATTCCACGCCAGTTACTTGAAGGGAATATACAAAGAAAGGAATTTAAGAAGCAGTATTTTCGTCAGACTTGCTTAAAAAAACAATTTAGGAGGCAGTGATTGCTTTGAGCAAGACAAGAAACATAGTTGTTTAAAAAAAAAGATACAAGTTCATTTTACACGCACAACGTAATAATTGGATCAGGGCATCTGTCAAAATATCCCTCTTCTTGGATGTAAGAGGGGGCAAGCTAATTTTTGCTGGAACTTCGCCCAGATTTAGGGATCTACACTTTTATTATGTGAGTTGTACTGAAGGCAATCCAGAAAAAAATTGCTTGCCCCCTCTCACATCCACCTCAAAACAGATCCGCCTTGGTCTATTATTCATTTGGAACAAAAAGATCGATTTTGTTTAATATTTCATCAGGCGTCCCTTCTTTTATCTTGACAGGTTGTCTTGATTAGCTAAATGGGAGGGCCCTGCCTTCATAACGAATTAATTATAAATATTCTAAACATACATAAAGGTGACGTTTTAATAAAGGAGTTGCACTGTCCAAGTCATAAGTTTTCTGTCAAATCTCAAAAAATATCCTACAGTTCAAACTATCTGACGTCATATATAACGTTTGTTATATAACCGTGTTCATCATTTCCTTAGGTTTTACCTTTGTGCGCTTTCATTGTTGTAGAAATTATTAAAAATTTCTGTGGACTATGACACTGCTGTTGGTGGATAAAACTTCTGCTATTCTGGCGTTTGTTTTGAGACGGTAACAAGTGTTTATACCACCATTTACCGTTGATAAAGTACCAGCAATAGCAAATGGAGCAAATTTGATAAAATGAGTGTTAACGTTGTCAGTTCCCTGCCTAAAACAGCAATCTCTCAATTTCTTCGAATTAACTCCGCGTGATAAATTCGCGTCCATAATTCACTCTGGGTTCTGCTTTCGCGAACAAGCTTCTGTATGCACTAGATTATGAACACTTTATGAGCGCGAGTAAATGCAACTCCCGGCTCGAGAGGATCATTTCAAAAGCGCGCGCTTTAATCATCTCAGCTATTTCTGTTGTTTAGCTTAATTTGTTAGGGAGTCATTAAGGGAAAACCTACGAGGAAATTATATGAATACTGGCTTGACGGAATAAGTCATAGTTGTCGATTTAATGTCGGGTACAAATATTAATAAACGCAAACATTAAGACAATCAATAAAAAAATACTTGCTAGAGATATCCCAACGAATGTCGATGCTGTTTGCTGTTACGTTAACCATATTATTTAACAGTCAACTTGCAAACACTTGTATCTCATTCTGACTTAGTACTATCCTAACACGTAGATTTTCAAGGACATACACTAGATGTGCTGTTCCACGACTTACACCAACATCAGCTGACTTCCATATACAGCAATTATTTCACGTGTACAATATTGGAGATTGAGAAACAAAATAGAATGCAATAGTATTAAAAATCTCGAGCTGGTTTGAAAAATGACTGGTTCTGGTTACATTTCATGTAACACGGAAGTGAACAGTGCAAACTTTGAAGCTATCTCGTGTGAAATTGCTATTTGTCAGTTGTATTCTGATCGCATGTATTAACTTGTCACTGTCTAATGTTCCAAACTCGTGTAATTCATTTGTTTTACGTCCAGGTGGATTTGTCTGGATAGTTCGCATATATTTCTCTGAAATTTTGGTCGATTTAAATCAAGTACAATCTGAAATTCAGCAAAGTTCGACGAGAGCCATTATTTTAAAATTGTCACTTAGTTGTGCATTTAAATGAAGACAGATAATTAATGATTTTAAAATTTACATTACCTTGACAAGTGTCGTTATTAGTTTTGCTTCTATCTATTTTTATGTCATACAAAGATTATTGATCATACGACCAAACTTAACGATCGTGGTTCTATTTAATCACTTTCAGATTGGTTTAGCGCCTGACTATAAAAACGTTCCACAATTTTTTTGGTTAATTTCTCTTCCGTTTCACTTCGAATCTCGTGTCGGTTTAATTTGACACTCTTCTGTCTCCTTTTCAGGTCAGCGCGTGCTCCAAAAAGCCTGCGGCAACGACACCGGCCAGGGAGGGGGCGGAGGCGGCGGCGGCGGTGGCGGTGGAGGCGGCGGTGGTGGTGGTAACCGAGAAGCGGAGTCGCCGAGTAATACCAATCCGGACTTGGTGGACATCAAAAATTTAGTATTGCAGAACCTGGATGCTGTCCACGCGTCGCAACAGCACCTCCTCCAGCTGTGGCACCACAAAAAACTCAAGTTGGACCAGTGCTTTCAGCTGAGGCTCTTCGAGCAGGACTGCGAAAAGGTGAGAGAGAGTTTGGTTGTCTTTTTCGTGTTAGTTTGACTAGGTGGTCTCTTTTTCTCTACAGTGTTCTTTAGTTCTCTTCTAATTAGGCTTAACAGTTTCGATAGTGGCTACACTTACAGCTTTTCTCTTTCAAGAAGTACACAGCGCACCAGGCCAATATTATCCAGATATTTCCTGAGTCAGCAGTATCCAGTTAGCACTTTACTATTAGCTTTAGTGATTGTGACTTTGGTTCAGTATGTCCATTGGTCTCATGACTTCCATTGGTACCTTGCCATCATTTTGATCCTTATTCTTTACCAATTCCTACATGAGTACCTTAACAACGTAGCTGCAAGAGGATTTGGGACCTTATAGGATTATAGATGAGTCTGCTCTGGCTAATTCATCAGATCTAGTATGAGATACTTTGGTACCAAAGCTACGACCATATCGTGACTTTGACTTGATTTTAGCCTTTCCAAAACATTCATACCAGACTGTATTTGTCTTTGGAGCTGTCCTTATACCAAATCAGAGTGGCTTTATGAATGGGAAATGCAATACTACCTTCAAATTACTACTGTGGAAGGCAACTGATTTAATTTTGTTTCAAGTCACTCAATATTTTAGCTGTTCTAACATGTTTTATCTCCTTTTACCATCTGCGACTTTCTCTTCTCTTTCTAGCAACTGTTTGTGACATGAGCAACTTTGAAGTAACGAAAAATCATTTTTTTTCTTTTAGATGTTCGAGTGGATCTGCCACAACCGCGACGTCTTCCTCCTCAACTACGTGGAGATCGGCCACACCTACCAGCTGGCCAAGCAGCTCCAAGAGGAGCACCAGCACTTCACCATGAGCTCCATGAACGTCTACGTCAACATCAACCGCATCCTTTCCGTGGCCAGCCGTCTCATAGAGGGAGGCCACTACGCCGCTTCCCACATCCGCGCCGTGGCCGGTCGGCTGGACAGGACGTGGAAAGACTTCGCTGCGGGGTTGGACGAGAGGACGGCGGTCCTGGCGTTATCTGTGATCTTCCACCACAAGGCCGAGCAGTACGTGGAGAACGTGCCTGCGTGGAAAGCCGCCTCGGAAGGAGCTAATATTCCCTCGGAGATCATGATGTTGGAGAACGGGATACACCAGCATCAGAATCTGTACGAGTCTATGTGCCAGGCGTATACGGAGGTAAGCGATTCGGGACCATTCGAGAGTTCCGTCTGTTTACTGCATTTGAAATTGAAAGAAACACTCGTGATTCGAAAAGTAGGATGTCACACTTGCTCCCTACAATTAATTGTAGGGAGTTCTTTGTCCCAATTTGAAAATCCCCTTCACATCCATTTTGTACAAGTTATTCTTCGTGTTACTTCGTGTATTTGTTAAAAATAAATGAGTTTTCTACAAAACGATTGATCGAAACTCAAATACCCCTTTTGAGAATGATGTTAGGTTGACTAGTAATCCTCGTGTCTAAATATAAACTGGGCTGTGATTAAGGACTAACGACCCATGTAACTCTTATTTGCCGATTTTAGTGAACTTTCGTTAGGAAAATATCGTGAAAACATATTGGAAAGATGTCCCATTCCCTTTCTAAATCAATATCAGGGCCAACTACGGGTCCAATGATAGAAAAACACTATTAAATAAAAAGGTTTGTCCTTAAGCAGACATCCCGTATTTGTCGTACTATCTTCAGAATCTAGTAACTGTATTATTTGCTGTTTCAAGAAATTTTATAAAATTCCTGTTTTTCTTAAGATTCCATTTTCCTGAAAGCAGTATTTTTTTATTTAGAAAAATATTCTCTGACTGTTATTTTCATTTGTTTAAGTCACTCTTGATTTCGTAATTAGATAACTCAATTAGACGCAACTATAATTATAAATTTAATTGGCAGTAAAAGATTTAAAGCTTCAAGTACATGACTAAAATCTTATCCCAAAGGGGTTTATTGATTTTTGTATGCCTTACTGCCATCTGTGATACGGAGGTAAAAGCACAGCACTCAAACCATATCTAAAGCCAGGAAAATTTATCCACTGTAGCCATGAAACGTTCAGATGTTTGAGAAACAGTTGAGAATTTAATTTTATTACCTGTTAGCGCGGTTAATAATAATTTAACAACAGAATGAAATTGTAGTTCGATTTATCGCCATCGAGGGCGCTTATACCACGAACAATTCATTGATTATTGTTTGACTCCGAGTAGGGGAAGGAAATACCGATTTTATAACGCGCTACTAGTTTCGCCACTGTAGCAGAGATGGCGCCACAAACCTAAAACTCGCATTGAAAATAGACTCTAACAAATTCAATAGAACTAGAACACATTCGATGTTAGGTATTTGGCTATTGAGAAATCTAAAAACTGAAAAAAGTACTATGTCTCTTTATAGGTGTATAATTCCTATCAATCATTATTAAACGGATTGGATGTGATGTTACAAGTGTGCCATAAGTTGCCCTCTCCTGTGGAATCGTCCGATAAGGAGTCGAAAATCATCAATGTACGATTTTAATATTTTCAGGCTTTGCAGATCTCTGGTTCTGGCACTGTAGACGTTATGTATTCCCCTTGACATGGGCGGAAAATTAACAACGCGAGAGTAACTAGAGATTTAAAAAAGAACGTGGCAACTGTGTAGATTTGCGAAAGTTCGCACCGATAAACGCGGCAACATTGCCTAATCTTAATTTCGTCCATGTCAGGGTTCTAGTATTAGGTATATTTATAAGAATGTGTAAAATGTAGTCGTATTAATTAATAATTACTGGTGTTGGTTGGTGGCAGGTTCATAGTACCAGTAAGAAACTTCTCTATCAGTTAGACCACTTGGTTCAAGTCTGCAATCAACCTGGGACTGAGAAAAAACATGTAAATATTACCTTCTTTTACTAATCGTAACACCGTTTCATTTCGATATTTGCACTACATTAATTTTAAAAAGAGAACAAAGTGTGACCTCGCACAAAACAAGATTCTCCATACTTGCACTATTTTGGTAAATTTTATTCTTTTCCGTTCACCTCTTACTAATACACATTCTTCTGTGAGGAAATTAGAAATATTTTTAACACCCACTGTTACGAATTCACTCAAACCTTTGACGAGTGACTCAAGAAGTGAAGACCGGAAAGTGTGGCGACAAAGTGATAGTGGTTAAAGCTAGTGAACACGTCGAGGTGGTATCAGAAGTGGGATAATTTGTTGCCGCGTTGTGAAACAAAGTTAGAATGAATTCGTAACGCTGATGAGCGCTGTTCTTAAGATATTTACACTTTACAAATGCCTCTGTAGTCTAGTTTCCTCATACGCCGGTCTTCAGCGGAAGAGATCGCTAATTGAAACCCTTGTTGTGTTATTAGGGCGAGGGGACAAATTTCGAAAACAGACCAGGCGGTAACCCGGCCGCCGACTACAGCGAGGGTGCCAGTCACGTCCTCGCTGTAATCCACCAAATCCTGAACCACCACAGGGCGCTTGAGCAAAAGTGGCACGCCAAGAAGATCAAGCTGCACCAGAGGCTCGCGTTGAGGCTGTTCCAAGAAGACGTCAAGCAGGTAAGGATAAAAATCTTTCGCGTTGAATATCTCGGTGAATGTTTGTAAAAATGTTTCAGGTGTTGGACTGGCTGTCCAATCACGGAGAAGTGTTCATCAGGAAGAACACCGGCATCGGAAGGAACCTGCAGAAGGCGAGGGTCTACCAGAAGAGCCACGAACATTTCGAAAATGTCGCTCAGGTGAGTCGCATGTTAATGGTTAGTGTGGAAGAGAAAGAAATGAACATTTGTGTAATTTAATGCTATTGCTTGCCGTTTCCGTACTTCGTGGCTTTAGTGGTCATTTAATTTATGTCGAGTAATTATTACGTCCACTTCCTCTTTAGTAAGGAATTGAAGGTAGTGGAATAAGTCGCGTTAGCGTTTTCCGCAACGACGTAGCAAATAACGGCCCGGTAAAATTTGCCAGATCGCGTCCAGTCCGAGTAAATGGCTCGGTAAATCTAATCAACGTCCAGAGAATTGTATCGTAAATTATTTGGATCTCCCGCTGTTGTCAGCGTGAAGGGGCCGTATGTAACGCGGCCAGGTGGTCTCTTTTTTGCTGGACAAGTGTGCCTTTTCCGAGAGTAGAGTCACAGACCATGAAAATTTGCGAAAAAAAAAGAGAAACTCGAAAAAATTCCTATCCGCGATATTATTGTAAAATTGTCTTAAATTAATAAAAATAATGCGGTCGATAAAATTACAATTTTAACTTCTTGAAAGGCGCTGAATTTGATACCATATCATTTTCTTCTTCTTTATCATATGAATCTTTGCGACATAATCAAAATTCATTCAAAAAATATTAATCACAACCATTTTCAATAATAGATATAATACAATTTAAAATTTAAAATTTTTCCTATTTTTATGAAATATAATAATTTGAAAATAATTTGTGAATTTTTACTTTAATTTTTCATTTAAATCGTAATTAAATAGCTAACAAAATATTGAAAAAATAAGTTTACTTTGGCTTAATATGTAAAAAAATAACTTTTTAAATGAACTATAGCTTCATTTATTTATTTAATAATAGTAAAATAATTCCGAAATTGAAATTTTAATTAATATTTCTTTAACAATAATTTTTGTGACATTTTTGTAAATTAAAAGAAATTAAGTATAAAAGATGCATTTTTTCTGGGATTCAGGGCTATTCTACGAATTCGTAAATATACCCATTATTATTTTTTCGTCGAGCTACCCCAGTTTAGAAAAAAAAAAGAAGTTTCTACGATGAATAGAAGCCGAGATATTGCAAAATGTTGCAGCGCGCATCAATTTGAACATTGGATTTCACTTTTCTAGCGCGCGACTCGCTTGGACGAGCTTCCCCCACCACCACCACGCCGGGCAGTTTACTTAGCAAGGACCTTCTCTTTAAAGGGCTCGTGAGTCACTAATTTTCCACATTTTTCAATGCAATTCACGGGAAATCGTAGTTTACGTCGTAAACTTTATTTTGCGGAAAATCCAAGTCTTAATATTTATAAACAATTGCGCTACGATTTTTTTAAAAAAATTCTTAATCTTGGCTCCTGTTGGTCGTAGAGGGTGCTTTTTTTTAAATTTGTATTGTTTGCCAGCTATCCATTGAAACTATTTTCGGCGAGGTAGCATAAATAGCAACAATTTTATTCAAATTGTTTATAAGCGAAAAACGCGTTTTTTAATGCACAATTTGAGAATGATAATGTCAAAAAAACGGTGATTTTTTTTTAATAGGTCGCTTAATTACGTCTTTAAGATTACAATAACGCTTTCGGAATCATGTTTGGTTGAAAATTAACGCCTGTACAGAGGCTTAAAGTTCATAACTTTTGGAGCCTCCGTTATAAACAAATTGAATTATGCGAAAACTATTGCACCTACAGCGCCCACTTTTGGCACACTTTTAAAGTATGACAAAACCCTCAACTTGTCATATGTTTTATAAAATTTTAACAATAAATGCGATAGTTATAAATAAATTAAAACATGGGCACTTTTATTGTTTTTTTGCAATAACTTTTTTGTTTATTCACCGATTTTAATTTAACTAGTCTCATTTTGTAGATAATTTTCTTCCCTACAAGGTGTCTGTGAGTCACTTTTCGCTATAATTGATGGTTTTCCCTGCAAAGTGAAAAAACTGTTTTCCTCACTTATTTGTTTAAATGGAAAAGTTTGCAACTAAAATTTTTTGACTCACGAAACGAGAGATGTCTTGTATTGTAATATTTAGACAATTTTACAATAATTTCGCGGATAGGACTTTTTTCGAGTAAAAATTTTATTTTTCTGTTGTATAAAGCGTGTGTACACAAATATGTTGTTTTCGTCGTCAAAAATATGTTCCTTCGATATTTCGGTCTTATCGTTGGTTTATTATAGAATGATTGTGAATTTATTCAGTCCTTTGCAAGAAAACAAGTCTTATTCACATATTGGGGTTTAAAATTAGGTCAATTTTACAAACATTAGATAAATAGAATTACGTAAAAACTGCTTCAAAATAAAACAGAACACCTTAAAATAATCTTGGAATACATAATAAAAATTTCAAGGTCATATAATATACCAAAGAAGCTAAAGATATGCAATTTGTTTCAAAACATACGTCGAAACGACTTTATAAAGCATTGAAAAAAAAAATCAAAACGGTTCTAAACTGTACAAGTATTATTTTACTTCTCTAAAATACAGTACAATAATCGAATCACGTCAAAAATACATAAGAATAACGTGAAAAATGTTAAAAACTTCTCAAATCATTGGAAAAAATCCACTAAATATGCCGAAATATAGTGAAAACTCAAAATACAGCGAAATGCCTCAGAAACCTACAAACCGAAAAAACGCCCTGAAAAAAGAACGACACAGTTCCACAATACGATCTTTGCCATATCCGGTCCGACTAATAAAATCCGTACCACTTTTTTTCACCGTCCGGGCACTAAATTAACGCCGATAGATATCTATTCAAATTTCTCGAACGGCAGTTCGATCGGTTCTATCGCGCTTTCCAAACTTTACGACACCATTACTGCCACCGGGTCGACATTGTAGCAACCGGCAGCTCGACGGCGATAAAAAGTGACCCGCATAGCTTCCGTCGCGCTGCCGGGACCCTCGCAACGCTATCTAGAGACCCGGTTGTAGGGCGTTCCTCCATTGTTTCGACAGGGCCATCTGATATCTACGGAGGAACCGAAGGTGCCACCTGTGGACGGAGAATTAAGCTTTAAGAGGGCGGATGTCGGTAGCACGCGAGGAAAAACAACCCTTTAATTATATTCGTAGCAGGGTTTAATTAATTAGTTTGTTAGTACTCGAGAATAGAGCTTCTGTTTAATATATTTCTTACAAGTATGGTATTGTATGTGTTGTATTACATATTTTGAAGCGGTTTTTACATATTTGGAGTTTCGTACTGGCGAATATTGAGCTGAAATTATATTTGAGCATGTCTTCACAGCTATTAGAAAATTACTTCATAATCCGGATTGAAACAAAAAAATGTATAGGAAACGACCCCTTTTACCTTAGACATTTAATTTAAAAAAACTATATGTTTCCCGTGTCTAAGGAAATATTATTCCAAGGGTAACAATCGAGAACAGAGTTGTCTCGAACGTATTTTACTCACACCTAAGGATATACATCCACGGACCCGCCCCAACCCAGCAGTTTACAAGTCCGGTACCACCAACTTACATCCGAACTTGTCCAATTACCACCTCGATCGCCTTTTGTCCCCCATCCCAGAACATGTACTCACACCGTCCGATAACAAATGCCTCCAGTCAACCCTCCTGTCGTACTTCCGGTCGCCGTGTTGTTAGCGACAGCTGATGTTTTGCGTTGAACTATTAGGGACCGAGCAATGTCTTTTGGAAGGGGTTCGTGATGTCCGTGAAGTCGCAAATCATTGAATCAGAGTAGTAGTCTTTAGCTATGATTGTGTTATTTTTTCTTAAATCGAAATGATTCTCCTCCCTAGAACTGGAGGAATGTGGACATGCTTAAAATCCTCTAAATACATCGTAGTTGACTCAGAAATTAGACCAATATGTAGGTGGATCTTGTCTGGATCTATTTCTATGGATTCCATTATAATCTGATATAAGTTTAGTTAGAACACCTCAAAATCTTCATATTAGTTAGCATAGCTCGAAATGTTTCTTAAATCGAGATGATTCACCTTCCAAGAACTATAATCAATAGTACTGGAGGAAATTGGCGATCCTATTCTGGTTTTATTGTGAATTATATTAACATAAACATAAATGATTCATCTAATTAAGTTGTAACACCTCATTATCCTTCGGATGTCCTCATACCATTTAACTTCTTGATGTGACGTGTCTTGCGTCTCTCAGCAGGATCCAATTTGCCTGTCAGCTAGATATATCCTCCGCTCGTGTAATTTGCTTTTTACCGTATTCAAATGCCGGCTTCCTAGACGGCGAAGAATCGATGTGTTTCAAAGTACTCGGCAACAAACTTTTTCAATTTCTTGCCGAAGCCCGACATTTCCATATTATCCCACTGGATGATATCTTTCCCTCGCCATCTGTCACGATGTATGTAATTATCGAAGGATCCTTGACTGTAACTATTAGACCTAGAAGAGATAGCAACACAAAAGTGTTGATGTTTTCTTTGCCCGACAAATATATCCAGTACAAACCCCACTATTTTGTTAGTCAACAACCGGTGAGATTTTTATTTAGTCAACTATGAACATTGAAACAAAATCGATGCCACCAACAGTGGGCTTCTACATTCGTCCATTGTTACTTGCAATAACAACCCACTCGAGATCTCTTTCATTCCACCCCATTAGAATACAAAAATTTATATTTTATCTGACTCGGGCAGGCATAATGCCTATATTTTCACATATTATTACGATCTGCCTATCGGGAGGGTGGATTGCTTACATATCTGTAGTGGCTTATAGGCGGCCTGCGGCGAAAAGTGCTTTTAGAAAAAGCATGGCTTTATATTCGAGGGAATATCCACGCACTCCTTGATTGTCAAGCATTGTGCCCTAAATTGGATGCAAATTGAAATTTTTAGGAAAGGGCCCACCCCACGAATTCGACGGGATTTTAAAATATAGTTACCTGAAAGGTGTCGCATTTAAAAATTTAAATTTGTTTATCTAATTACCTGTGATTGTGATTCTCTATTTGAAAATTCTAACT